ACGGCCTTCCAAACGTTAACACCTCCATGCAGAAGGTAAGCTCATGTTTTAATTAAGTTAATTTCCATATGCCATCTAGCATCTAGTTAATTTCCATATGCCATCTACTGGGAATGCCTAGCATAGCTAGGCATTCCCAGTAGACATTTAGATAGACCTCAGTGCCACCTATAGTTCCTTACTAAAACCCAAATCTTCTGTTTGCCTCCTGACTAGAATTATGAACAAACCCAAGTTAACTCTTTCATAAACTGCAATGAAACAGTGAAAAGGATTCTTCTCAGTAACAACAGAGCAGCAGCACCAATGAGGTAGAGGGCCTTACCACTCATTCACACTGGAAGCGGATCCACGTTAGCAAAGCGGTTGCGAACACGGATCCGCTTCCAGTGTGAATAAGCGGTTAGAGCGATAAACTGGCAGCTGAAAGTGACCCCTGATTGGCCATGCCATGTCACGCTTTTTTTTACCACTAACACGTGACCTAATACTTTTTTGTCTAGATTTTAACAAAGTACTGTGCACAAATAATTGCTTATTGATCTTTAATAACGGTACCGACGAGATAAGTTATGCTTAGTTCGTTCTGAGTCCAACATGTGCTTTTACGACGAAAAATTGAGGAGCTTCCCAATGCCTCCGCTAGATGCCGTCAGCTGCGGTGCTGTATTTTGGGTTTTTATCATAGCTAGACACTGATCTCTGCGACTAACGTATTATCATATTTTTTAGAGATTGCAAAAGAAATCTGCTTGGTTTTGTGTAAAAGCTTCAGGATTTGGTACGGTCACGTGTCTTGTCAAAATCATACAACATGATGGCAGCCAAGTGGGGGGTCACTTTTGCCGGGTGAACGGAATACCAGTTTATTGCTCTAAAGCGCGAAACACATGTACGACGAAATCGTCCGATCCGACGTGCGGACTGCCCGAATGACCTTCGGGGATGAGGGTTTTCGTAGCACCGGAGAACGTTGAAAACCCTCACCTCCGACCGTCTTATTGCCTGATTGGACGTCGGATCGGACGGTTTCGTCATAAATGTGTTTCGCGCTTACGCCCCTCTACCTCGTTGAGCAGCATGAACACAAATGCTTGAATCACTGTCGATGTACAGTCAGCATGGAATGAAACCTGTATGCCGGAACGTGTGGCCATCAACACAGGCTGCTCCACCTGGAGGGCTCCTGAGACCTAGTGAAAATGCGCCGGGGTGCGGATCCTACTAAGACGTGCTCGACCCTCGCACGGCGCGTCTGGGGCTTCTACGTTCCGCCGGCGGCGCGCTGTGAGCGCCGTCACTCAGGTTGCTTTTGTGTCGTCGCACTGCCGCATGAAAACTAAGAGTGTGGCCGTGCCAGTGACAAATTTTATTTCGCACCTATGACGTTTCACTATTTCTCAGAAACCGCGTGCGGCAAGTTGTTCACTGGAGCCTCTGCATAGTTCCGGTGACACGTCGTCAAGCACTACGGGTCTTCTGTGCACTAAATGTTTCAACTTTTCTTTTCGCCCTTGCTATACACAAAGTGATAATTAATGGGAGCGCTGGACAGATCGGACCAAAATCTGAACAGAGTGACGAATTGTTCAAGGCTCAAGGAATTAAGGAAAATGTTTGCTGAGTGTACGAGTTGGTAGACCTGCATTATGGCATTTGGAGCGAGGCATACAATCCTGAAGAATATGAGAGGTTAATAGACTAGCTCTGGGAATGGACGTATGGATGTGCTCATATATTATATACTAAATATTTGTAGTAGCAACCTTCAGTTGGGTGTCAGCACTCGTTATGTGTCGCAGCTTGTTCTGTCTCATATGTCGCGCTGTTTCGCTATAAGTATGGCTAACAATAAAATTATGAGAGGTATTACAAACTATAAAAACTGCACGCCAGGAGGAAAAGACACCATGGACGTGCTCTGCTGGCGTGCGCGCAATCAGCTTGCAGCTGCTTTTAGCATCGATGTTCTCGCGCTGCGCGGAAGCCGAAGGTGTCGACCTGGCGACAGTGCGGCGACATGAAAGCACCCCGAGTTACGGTGTTTACAGCGCGCCACTGGCGAGAGGCGGAAGTCTCAGACGCGCCGCATGAGGGTAGAGCATATCTTAGTAGGACCCGCCCCCGGCGCATTTTCATTAGTTCTCAGGGGCCCTGCAGGTGGAGCAGCCTGTGTCGATGGCCGCGCGTTCCGGCATTCGGGTTTCATTCCGTGCTGGCTGTACCAGAGGTGGCTTACAGTGGCTAGCCAAACCGCCTGCATGTAGTTGGGAAAGGCCACAGCTAGATAACGCAACATATGTAAAAGGGGCTGTTCACATTCTTCAGTAATTTCTGCTAGTTTAACTGAACTTTTGTTTCTTCTGCCTCTTCAGAAACAGCACTGTGATGTAATACGCTAAAATTTCCCCTCAGGGCGGCTCTCAGATGTCTTCAAAAGCACAAAAGGCAAGGAAACTTCAAGCACATCAAATTGCACAGGAAAAAATATATAAAAGTTTCAACGAAAGGGAAAAAGAATCGAAGGTAAAAGTCATTTTAAGAAAATATCGATTTTTTTTTTTACTTTTAAAAAGTGACAATGTATTAGTGATGGACTGGATCTGCCAAAGTACGAATTTGGCAAAGTTCGGCAGATGCCCAACTGCCGGAGCAAAACTCGACCAAAATTGGGCAGACATCGGTGCGATTGCGACAAAAGTTTAGGGTTGCACATCTCTCCAAAACTAAACGGAACTTGCATACTCTGCATTACACATCTGGAACTCCTGATTCTTTCCATCTTCCTATACTTCATCTCACAAGTCGGCCTCAGTGCTTGCAAAGGCACACTTGCGAAAGCGTAGCTGGGCAGGATGTTTATAGTTTGCATGAGCAGTCGCGCCTACAAGGCACTTTAAGAAACCACACACTTGCACCCATGCCTTTGCCAGGGTTGAAGACAACTTGTGAGATGAAGTATAAACTTTCACATCCTAAACACAAATTGGCATTTTACAGATTAGAGACAAGGTATTGAGAATGTAGGACGCACACTCGCATGTGAAGTTGATGTTGAGTGAAAAAAAACTTGCCATGATCACTATAATATTGTTATATTTTCTGCTGGAGGCTCAACTGCTGTGTCCGGGGCACACGGGGGACTGCGACGCGTAGAGAGAACGATAGTGCTTTCTGTACATGTGCAGGCTTGCACTGATAACGTCTCCAAATTGAAACCAAAAGCACTTGTATCGTGACTATTGATGCAATTATACTCTAGACCAGGGGTTCTCAAACTTTTTTTTCCCACGGGACCTCAGCAAGCCTCAAAATTTGCAGCGGAACCCCCACCCCCCTCCATTTTTGCCGACTGAGAAGGAACAGAAGCACAATCGTAGGCGATCTTGCCTGTTTCGCTTCTCACATATCCCCATATCAATTGCAATGTCAGTACAAAGAGGTGAAGGCGCTTTGCACGATCCTGGCTCGCAGGCGTGCGAGGCAAGACAGTCTGTGGGCAGGGGGAGGGAGGAGGGTGCAATTTGGATGTTTGCACAACCGATGAGACCAGCTCGCGAAACCCAGTTTGAGAACCCCTGCTGCAGGCTATCAATTTATTTAGCAATCACAATGTTTTTAACATTCACCTAAGACCTTTCTGCCAAAAAGATGCCCCCTCAAACATCAACTTGACAGTTGGACAACCCAGCTTTTCTGCCGAATTTATGTTGATTCTGTAAAGCGCAGCGATATTCGGCATTGCCCTATCTGTGTAAAAGGTCTTTGGCTTTGCCGCATCGTTGATTGGGCAAAAGTTTGGTCCATCACTAAAAGCTATATGTAATGCTCATGCCATGAACCAATTATCGACTATAACTCGTTTTAGGGAACTGCCACAAGAGACAACAAGAGGAAAAGGTTTGAGTCTTTCGACAGCTCGGATGAGGAGCTCACTTCGACGGAACAGTTGCATCAGAAAGACATCATGATTGCGCAGCTGCGCAAGCGCCTGAAGGACGAAAAAGATTACAGTAGGCGTCTGGGCCTCGCACTACTGGAGAAGATCGGTATGCTTGGCTGATACCATTCTTTGGGTTCTATTTATTTGATAATATTTTTTGTTTTTACATTTTTCAGAGGTTGCCCGCACAAAGCCTTCGGGGAGTAAACGCCTCATGAGTGCAGGTAAATTTTTGCTTGAAACATTACTTTTAATGCATCGTTCAAAAATTGTTTCCCAATGAATGAAAGAGACGCCTTCTTGATTGTGTATAACCATTCGGCATGCTCAACTCTCCCAATTGTTTCTACTTTTTTAGCTTCTCAAGCTTCCAACATCAATGTCGCCCAGATACCCTCGACGTCCCACTCAGGTAAATCTGATTTAATAAGGTTCATAACATCGTTGGAAGACCATAGGAAAGCCACATTTGCATATTCAAGGCAAAACATATTGGGGATGACCTCAAAGCATGCTGTAGCTCACAGCTTTTCTGTCCTTTTAAAGATATAGTGAAGGTTCTCTACAATGCAAGAACTGCTTCATCTGATTCTAAGTAATAGATATGAGGTCTCCACCACTCCCTTTTGCTCTAGCACCAGTGCCAGTCGCACTCCCACCCAGATTGCCAATGTTTGCAATGGCACCAGAAGCAGCCTTGTTTCCAACACTTGCTGCTGCTCCAGTTGCAGTTCCTGCTTTGGCTTCTCCACCTACCCCGCCAGTGGCCCCAGCCCTGTTCCCACCACTTGATGCTGCACCAGTAGTAGCACCAGCACCAGCCCCGCTTTCCCCAGCAGCAGCTGCAGCCCCGTTCCCACCCCTTGATGCTGCGCCAGTAGCAGTGCCAGCACCAGACCCACTAGCAGCCCTGGCCCTGCCACCGCTTGTTGCTGGGCCAGTAGCAGCCCCAGTACCAGCCCCATTTGCACCAGAAGCTGCCCCAGCCCCACTCCCACCACTTGCTGCTGCACCAATCGAAGCCCCAGCTTTGGCTCGACCCCCCGCCCCGGCAGCGGCTCCTCTTCTCCCTCATCTTCAGGAGGTTGAAAATCTAGGTAAATAGAACCATCAAGGGTCATGTTGCAATTATGACCTTTGGGCGAGCTTGTGGTGAGCTTGTGGAAAGGTCCCCTTAAAGCATGGTGGAACTGGTTCCCATGATTCCTTACAGCAGGCATTTACAAAACTTGCTTAGTTAGTCTTTTTAAAGGACACATGCAAAGGAAAAAAACTTTTTTTTAGGCAGCTTAGATGAAAAAAGGCTGTCATAAAACAATTTTACAACGAAAAAAAAAAAATTTTAGAGCTATATTTACGGCGCTATACGAATTTGCAGTTGGCGCTCGCGGGAGCCGCCGCTAGTCACGTGGTAGGCCCGTGCGTCGCCGCCGCACGGTGAGTGTTGTGCGAACACCGCTTCAACGCGTTTCTCCACGCCGCCGCTGCCGCAAAAGTTTGTCTGCTTCGGGGCGCCGTTGCCGCCGTCTGACCGGCGCACAGGTCTATCACGTCGGCTTGCGCTTTCTCAGGAGTTTCCTTTGGGCTCTAAAAGTTACTTATTCATCTTAGTTTTTTGTTATACTTCAAACAAAGATGAATAAGTTACTTTTAGAGGCCATAGGAAGCATCCGAAAGAGCGCAAGCACCACGTGACAAATATGGGCCCGTCACGTGATAAGCAAGGGACACTTTTCCTTGGCGCCCACCGGCGCCAACTACGAATTCCTATAGCGCCATAAATATAGGTCTAAAATTTTTTTCTTGGTTGTAAAATTGTTTAATAATATCCTTTTTCCAACCAAGCTGTTTAAAAAAATTTTTTTTTCCTTTGCATATGTCTTTTAATGTTTTGTCAGCTCTTCCTCACTTTTCCTTCACATTGACGTTGGGAGGAAGCACATTGTTGAGTGTTTCATCAAGTGGATAGGAGTTTCATTGATGGGCCCATTCATTGTTTCCTACTCATAGAGACTAACTCCCAGAGTGCTTTTTTTAGGCTAGGAGTTAGAGAGAGAGTATAGATAATGACACTGGGGGAGGGCTTTCCGCCAGGCTGAGAGTGCTGCTTGCACTTCGGCCTTTACGGTTTAAGTACAGTAGAAATTAACCTTTGAGGTTCAAGTTCATAGATTTTGAAGATGAGTGCAATCAGGAACACAGACTCCTATTTCCACTGTGCCATATCACCCCCTACATTTAGCAGATTTCAATCACCTTGTTTGTTTGGTACTTCTAGGGAGCCTTCATGTGCGCTTTGCTAGGGTGATGCCACCTTTTGTAATACCGCTCGCCGACAAACCAGCAGCCATTTTGGTTCTTGGTGATAATCCGTGGGGCTTATAACCCTCCCGGAAACAAGCACCTTATCTCACAAGTTCGTAGCAGCGTTGTGGAACCCACGGAGGGAGGATTATTATTTCCCCCTCAGATGGGAAGACCGATGGACTCAAAGGCCACTTTCCGGCGCACGGGGAAACATTGGGGAATTGTAGTAGACCGTCTTAGCAGCCCGCTAAGCACCTGGATAGCGCTCGGCAATCCGCCACAAGACCTTGAACTATGCAGACAAGGCTGGCGGCGCGCATGCGTTTCTGCGGCGTTTTCTTCACGGATACCGTAGTGGAGGAGGAAAACGGGCTACTACAATTCCCCAATGAGAGGAACAAAATGGCGGTGGAAGAGGGTGTGGGAAACGGAAACAGGCAGTTGGCATTACTCTATGTGAAGCACACATGAAGGCACCCTAGGCACACATGAAGGCACCCTAGCCTTAAAAGAACAGCATAGCTTCCTCAATAACAAGAATAAACTGGAATGACCTTTTAAGGTGTCTATTTCACATCATCAGCGAAGCAGCTGACTCAAAACAAAGCCAAATAGTGTCCTTGCTCAATTTTAAGAGTGCCTCGTCTTTTTGTGTTTCATGGACAGGACATCAGCCAGACATGAACGCTGGAGTTCGGGCCCCACGCAATCTGCCACCGTTGTATGAAGTCTTCCAGGGGAATGTAAGTAAGGTTAAATTTTGGTTAAAGCGTGCGTATCCTTTAAAGGGGCGGTGCAATGAATCTTGTACATGTTCAAAGTTTGTGCTTATACTGAGGTCACAGAATGTAGTTTTGCTGAACCAAGGAATTGCGCGTAGTGCGTGATGCACTTCTCAGCGAGCGATATTAAATTTGTAATCAATTATTGAAAATTTGGTAAAACAAATTAATTAATCGCCTGAATTTGCTGGGCCATGGCCGACAATTTAAGAAGTTGCGCAAATATCTGCTCTTCTTCGAGCAGAAGTCGCGATGTGGCAAACTTCTTTGCCACGTATTCAATGCAGGAGGAGCTAGGTGTCCGTTGCTGACAACTGCTTGTCAGCAAGTGTCGAGTTACACTTGGATAGAAGCGTCGGTATCGGCAAGCTTAATATAGCTAAAACAGGTGTGTGGCGCTTTGCAACACAACTGTGCACATGCACAGCTAAGATGATACCACGTCATTTGCTCTGGTGAATACAAAAGCTTTTCTACAAAAGCCTCCACAAATCCGGGAAAAAAACAAACAATCTGAGGTTGTGAATGGCCCTGACGCACGCTACGCAAGCAGTAGTGTGGAACTCGCGCTTGTTTCTGACCATTTTAATGGGTTTTAATATAAGAAAAAGCAACTTTGAGGTGCTATCATTGATTAGAAAGATCACTCGCAAAGACATCATACACATTTGTTTAACAAATAAAATTTTTAATTGGCATAGATGCAAACTAACGTATCCACTCCGTGCTATTACATAGCCCGTCGTCTGCTTGCATCCTACCCGCGCCGTCACAGGAGAGCGCCCATGAGCCACCAAAACATCTCGTCGCCAATAGAGGTTAAAATCCTCAAAAATAGTATGGAGCTGGCCCAACACCTTCTAGATACAGATAAGGCCTGTGCGTCACGTCACTTGACGTCGCCTCTGGGAGGCCCTCATGGGCGCTGATAGGATACAGTGCTGCGTCAGCGTTTGGCTGGGACTCCCGTCCACTCGCTGAGGGCTCTGGTCGCAGTCGAACGCCAACGCAGCACTCGTATCCAGCATGTGTTTTTGTGGTTTCCCGGAGGTAATGTCTTATCTCATGATGCTCAGGTATTAATTGTATCTAGGAGCTGCTGGCTGATCATAGCGCAATATGAGAACGCTCCTTGAAAGCGTCTGAAAGGGGCCCTGCAAGCACTTTTTTACTGGTTTTTAATTTGCACCGAACCTGAGCGCACTGAACGTAGTAACTTAGTGAAACTTTTCTTTTCTCGAAGTTCGCTTTATTTTAAAAGTTATAGGAAAATTAAAATTACAAAAACAAGCAAAAATTAACCTCCCTCATGACGTCCTTGGTTGCTTGAGTGGCCGTGATCTAGAGGAGGGGTAGTGGGCTCATCGCAAGCGCTCACGGCTGCCACACCCCTTGTCGACGGCGCGAGAGGGCGCCACTAAAGCATGTTCTGGATAGGCTGTATACAGCGGGCAGCCAGAGCGGCTGTCATTGCTTTTGCTGCACGATTAAACGCTAATTCGGCATGACACTTCATTGGCCACAAACGATAGCAAACACGGGGTAAAGATCAGTTCAGAAGGGAAGCCACTTCGCGTTGCCATACCGCGAAGCGGCCAAACCTCTAGACAAAGCTGCTCTTCGAACGCCTTCGGAACGCTCGGAGCCGGTCAGATCCTCCTGTCTGTACGACCGCAGTGCTTCCGCATACATTCGGGACCTTTCCGTGTCGGCGCCTGATCCCACTACTTCTTTCTAGTATGCGCCGCTTTTTCCACCGCTTGGTGGCGGGTATGTCGACGGGCCATTTCTTGTTTCCGTACTTTATAAACTGCATTCATATCTTTTCTGATTTAAATATTCTGAGCAAAAGCTACTTTTATAAATAATTGAAACGGTTTGCGCCACTTATATTTTGTATTTCGACTAAAAAGAAGCTTTTAGCGGCTCTGACCAGTAGTAAGCCCAGGACCACGGACGTCACATTTTGCGCACTTTCGGTACCGCGGATCGCCCCCGTCGGTGGAGGAGGTTTCCGCGTCGTCCGGTTAAAGTACGATGCACTGATATTTAGTTACTCTCTCCGTGCCCGCTGGCTTGCCCGATTTTCAAGAGACGTGCAAACCGCGAAAAAGGTAGACGCTTAAATATGATTGCAGGGCCCCTTTAAGTGCACTGGCAAACCAATCATACTGTTTTGTAGGGAGCAAGGGACTCTGGCGGTGGCGTAGCTAGGCTATCCGGCACCCTTATATCTTTTATCCCCCCTTTTCACTCCAAGAAATCGCGACCAACCAGTAATATTACTGAGGTGCATGCCCCTACGCAACAGGGCGCCTGGTACCCGGGGCCCCCCAGGTTGCTATGCCGCTGGACCCTTGCTCAGCCATATCGCAGCAGCAGCCATTTAACCTTTCAGGGCCCGTTTGCTCGAAGCACTAATCGCGGCTAAAGTTAGCCGCAGTACCTAGGAGAGGGATTTTGGAATCACGTGACTGGGGGCTCGGTAGGGATGCAGGGAAACATGGCGGCGCCCAGTGAGTGAGTGCCGCTCGCTTTGGAAATAATATGTCGCTGTAGCTGCAATATCGGGCGCGTTAGTCAGCAACGAATGGTGCAGGAGGCTTTCGCTTTGCTTTACCTCACTTAAACCGCAAAGCATGGGCAATGACATCGCCTCATTTTTTAGATAGTCTTTCGATTCTGGCCATTCCTAAGCCTAAATGAACGCGATAATTGTCGGCATGGCAACGTCTTTGGAAAGCGGATTGCCTTGACTGTATCGGCCGGGTATTGATAGCACACAAAAGTAGACAGCGTCCCAATAGACGTTCTTCTAAATTATGAAAGCATCGCGAGGAGAACGCTGGAAGTGTAATTCCACGGTTCACGCGCGCTGGCCTCCCTCTTATAAAAGATTCGAAGTAAAAAATCATAATAATGCTTTAACAAACGCGCGTGCAAGGCAAAATTTGTTTTCTACTTTTTGCTTTAAAACGGTTACTGCAGACGCCAGCACGTGCGACGCGTGCAACTACAGTCGTAGCATGCACCTCGGTGCTTGGATAATTTAGAAAAAGGTCTGTTGGGACGCCGTCTGCTTTTGTGTGCTATTATGTGCTATCAACAATCCGCTTCCAAAGACGTTGCCATGCCGACAATTATTGCGTTCATTTAGGCTTAGGAATGCCCAGAATCGAAAGACTATCTAAAAAATGTGGCGATGTCATTGCCCATGCTTTGCGGTTTAAGTGAGGTAAAGCAAAGCGAAAGCCTCCTGCACCATTCGTTGCTGACTAACGCGCCCGATATTGCAGCTACAACGACATATTATTTCCAAAGCGAGCGGAGCTCATTCACTGGGGCACCGCCATGTTTCCCCGCATCCCTACCGAGCCAGTCACGTGATTTAAAATAATCCCTCTCCTAGGTACTGCGGCTAACTTTAGCCGCGGTTAGCGCTTCGAGCAAACGGGCCCAGAAGTGTTTACCTTTTAGCTGGTTGCTCGTAACATTGTGACTATGGCTGCGTTATCGTCGGGAAGTTTATAACCCGGCCGACGTGCGAGTTTCAACTGGGATGACTGAGATTCTTTGGTGATGTATCTGTGCGCAAATGTCTTGATAGCGAAAGTCTTCCTGTTCTGCGACGCCATATTCGACAGCGGTCACAAACTCTGAACTGCGCCAAAAATTAAACTAGCAAAACCAAGAATTCTGAGCAGAACAGAAATGCACGCATGCACCGGAGAAGGAGGTGAAACGAACTGCTGTAAAAGACTTAACTCTTTTCAAGTCTAAAGTCATGCCCGGCCAGGGGAAGGCGCCGCACTGAGAGACTGATGAAAACAAGATGAGCAAAGCCAAAGAAAGAGTGTGGTCATTTTTGGACGTAACACCGGGAAGGCGAACACTGCAAGCGTGAAATTAGTACTGTTGAGACCGGTTATAATGAAATAGCGGCTACAGTTGAGCGATCACGATTTTCCATTCCCTTTTTCACTTAGTTAACTGACGTTAGTTATAACAAAATAGCGGATATATCGAAGTGATTTCAGACTCCCGTTGACTTCGTTATAACTGGTCTCGACAGTACAGTCATTCTCATGAGAGTTCCACGGGACCTGGCATTAATGAGTATAGCAGCCGGGAAGATATCAATGACGTTCTATTGTAGAATGTACCCTTTGTTCTTGTAGGCATTTTCCTCAGATCCACCTCGGAGACGAGGTTTACATCGCGGAGCAAAAGATGAGGCACCTCATGAAGCTGCCTTCGGACCGGCGCTTCACGAAAGATGTGATGCGGTGCCTTTGGACGGCTGAGCAGCTGCAAGAACGCAGCGTCACTGGGCAGGTCAGCCGCCGGCTGGTGAGGAGTGGAGGGGTGGCCAAGCAAGCCCTCACACCGAGGAAGGTGGCAGCAGTGAAAAGTAAGTTTCAACTTTTTCGAGTGAAAATATTGTTTGGTTTGTCTTGTCAAGATTTAGACTTCTAATCTGAAGGTGCCTATGGTGATATTATTTTATCAAGTTCTCTTATGCTTGAGCCCGAATTTCTTGAGAAATTTGTGCTCAGAAAGGGTGGCAACATGAAAATGTTTGGCATGTTGTTGAATGCAAGCATTGTACAACAAAGAAATCTGAAATATTGATTACCATGATTTGGAATAGGAAACACAATATCTAAGAATTGATATCAATATTATCAGCACATTGGCATAAGACTTTAAAAGTAGCTGCATAACATGCAAGTGGAATGTGAGATGTGCTATTATGAGCAGAATGAGACACAGCCGGAGCATGTGCTGTTCACACTTGTGGCACTGCCTACTCAAAACAATACATAGGTACGAAAAGCCTCTATTGGCATCTGGCTGTCCCCCTGCCCCTTGCGTTTTGCACCTGTTCGCTTAGAACGTACGGGGCAGAAATCATATACGCAGCAGGTCAAAGGCCTGCTGTGTATATGATTTTGAAGGATTGGAATTAGCATCTTTGTAAGCTTTATTAATCTTCAAGCTAGTTTCTTGGAGACTGTTGTTCATGGCGTTAATAGCTTGTCTCAATGGTCTCAGTGAGTGACTTGTGAAAAATTCCACCCGCTGCTAATCTCGATTGTGACCAACTGCACCCGACTCCACATTTTTGAAAAGGGTAAGCACAATTAGGAGTGTATTCATTTGTAAAAGATGCCCTCGCAAACAACAAATGATGATAATCTAGTTACAGTATCGAGGCAATGAATAATTCATTCACTTTAGGCTAGAAGCATGTAGTAATGTTATTGTGAGCTGTACTTTAATATGTTTAACAGCAAGCACGTAGAAACTCTGAGGAAAACAAATTGACATATGCAGCCCTCAATTTGCATTCACATTGGCTATTTCAGTGTTGGAAAGGATCATTTCCATAATAGGATGCATATCAAACTGAACCTTTCAGCAACCCTATTTGGCACAGCTATGCTAATGATTCAGCCGCCAGTGTACACTGCACCCCAAACTTAACGCCGCAACTGGGATCCCAAACATTGAGCTCGAATCGGCTACTTAATGTTGCATTTGTCACCGAAACGTTTGGAATGCCTTCTCAGGATGGGATAGAAATCGGGAACCCTAGCATTCTTCAGATAGTTCAATCGGCTACAGCAGAGACTGTCAGAAAGGGAAAATGCCGTAGCGGCGTTAAGTTTGAGGCGCACTGTACTTAGAGCTTCAGAGATCCTCTACCTCAGTGGTTGCGAGTTGCATAGCAGGCGACAGACTGGGGAGGCAAGGGGCTAACAACAGCAGGGTCCTTTCACTCCTAGGCGTCGCTTTGCGTTACTGCCGCAGGACTGGCGCCACATGTAGGATTCGCACACACTTCCATATTCCCTCTCATACTGTTTATAATATTTGTTATTTGGGACATTAGTTCCACACCATTTTAGAACAGGTGGGTGCAAATAAATCTGCCATGGTCCTAATTATTGATGTTCATTTTTCTTTCAGATGCCTTGCAGTACTACATCATGCATCACCGAAACCCCGACACCCCGGAGGAGGCAGATGACGTCAGCAACCGTCTGGCATGTCTAAACAATATTATGACAAATTTTTTATCTGATCTCGGCCGCCCCAGCAGGCGTGTCACTCTGTAAAGCGTTTTTTTTTTTATCGCAAAAAGAAAAAAAGAAACTAGTCGGGGCAATTTACATGAAGTATTTTTTGGGGGGCTGTGAAGTATGTGTTTTTTTCGTGTGTGTATGTGTGCCCTAGCAGGCGTATCACTCATAATTTTTTTTTTATATATTGAAAGAAAACGGGGCAATATATGCCATATTTTAATCTTTTTACATTTAAGGATAATTTTAATATTTTTACATTCTCTGTTTACTTGTCACTCTGTAAAAAAGTTTTTTTCTTTTTTTTTTTATCGCAAAAAGAAAAAAGAAACTAGTCAGGGCAATTTCCGTGAAGTATTTTTTCGGGGCTGTGAAGTATGTGTTTTTTCGTGTGTATGTGTGTGTGCCCTAGCAGGGCGTATCACTCATAATTTTTTTTTTATATATTGAAAGAAAACAGGGCAATTTATGGAAAAATTTAATCTTTTTACGTTCTCTGTTTATTTGTCACTCTGTAAAAAAGTTTTTTTTTTTTATCGCAAAAAGAAAAAAGAAACTAGTCGGGGCAATTTCCGTGAAGTATATGTTCAGGGCTGTGAGTTATGTTTTTTTTTTCGTGTGTGTGTGTGTGTGTGCCCTAGCAGGGCGTATCACTCATAATTTTTTTTTTATATATTGAAAGAAAACGGGGCAATTTATGCAATATTTTAATCTTTTTACATTTAAGGATAATTTTAATCTTTTGACATTATCTGTTTATTTGTCACTCTAAAAAAAGTGTTTTTTTTTATCGCAAAAAGAAAAAAGAAACTAGTCAGGGCTACTATAGGCAATTTCCGTGAAGTATTTTTTCGGGGCTGTGAAGTATGTGTTTTTTTCGTGTATGTGTGTGTGCCCTAGGAGGCGTATCACTCATAATTTTCTTTTTATATATTGAAAGAAAACAGGGCAATTTATGCACTATTTCAATCTTTTTACATTTAAGGAAGTGTCCTCTGTTTATTTTTGTGGTGTAAACTATACATTTTTTTTTGTGTGCCCCAGCAGACGTAGCACTTTAAGGAATTTCTCTTTTTTAATTTAAAAAAGGAACTAGCCAGGGCAACTAATGCAATATTTTAATCTTTTTACATTTAAGGAAGTGTCCTCTGTTTATTTTTGTGGTGTAAACTATACATTTTTTTTTGTGTGCCCCAGCAGACGTAGCACTTTAAGGAATTTCTCTTTTTTAATTTAAAAAAGGAACTAGCCAGGGCAACTAATGCAATATTTTAATCTTTTTACATTTAAGGAAGTGTCCTCTGTTTATTTTTGTGGTGTAAACTATACATTTTTTTTTGTGTGCCCCAGCAGACGTAGCACTTTAAGGAATTTCTCTTTTTTAATTTAAAAAAGGAACTAGCCAGGGCAACTAATGCAATATTTTAATCTTTTTACATTTAAGGAAGTGTCCTCTGTTTATTTTTGTGGTGTAAACTATACATTTTTTTTGTGTGCCCCAGCAGACGTAGCACTTTAAGGAATTTCTCTTTTTTAATTTAAAAAAGGAACTAGCCAGGGCAACTAATGCAATATTTTAATCTTTTTACATTTAAGGAAGTGTTCTCTGTTTATTTTTGTGGTGTAAACTATACATTTTTTTTTGTGTGCCCCAGCAGACGTAGCACTTTAAGGAATTTCTCTTTTTTAATTTAAAAAAGGAACTAGCCAGGGCAACTAATGCAATATTTTAATCTTTTTACATTTAAGGAAGTGTCCTCTGTTTATTTTTGTGGTGTAAACTATACATTTTTTTTTGTGTGCCCCAGCAGACGTAGCACTTTAAGGAATTTCTCTTTTTTAATTTAAAAAAGGAACTAGCCAGGGCAACTAATGCAATATTTTAATCTTTTTACATTTAAGGAAGTGTTCTCTGTTTATTTTTGTGGTGTAAACTATACATTTTTTTTGTGTGCCCCAGCAGACGTAGCACTTTAAGGAATTTCTCTTTTTTAATTTAAAAAAGGAACTAGCCAGGGCAACTAATGCAATATTTTAATCTTTTTACATTTAAGGAAGTGTCCTCTGTTTATTTTTGTGGTGTAAACTATACATTTTTTTTTGTGTGCCCCAGCAGACGTAGCACTTTAAGGAATTTCTCTTTTTTAATTTAAAAAAGGAACTAGCCAGGGCAACTAATGCAATATTTTAATCTTTTTACATTTAAGGAAGTGTCCTCTGTTTATTTTTGTGGTGTAAACTATACTTTTTTTTTGTGTGCCCCAGCAGACGTAGCACTTTAAGGAATTTCTCTTTTTTAATTTAAAAAAGGAACTAGCCAGGGCAACTAATGCAATATTTTAATCTTTTTACATTTAAGGAAGTGTTCTCTGTTTATTTTTGTGGTGTAAACTATACATTTTTTTTTGTGTGCCCCAGCAGACGTAGCACTTTAAGGAATTTCTCTTTTTTAATTTAAAAAAGGAACTAGCCAGGGCAACTAATGCAATATTTTAATCTTTTTACATTTAAGGAAGTGTCCTCTGTTTATTTTTGTGGTGTAAACTATACATTTTTTTTTGTGTGCCCCAGCAGACGTAGCACTTTAAGGAATTTCTCTTTTTTAATTTAAAAAAGGAACTAGCCAGGGCAACTAATGCAATATTTTAATCTTTTTACATTTAAGGAAGTGTTCTCTGTTTATTTTTGTGGTGTAAACTATACATTTTTTTTTGTGTGCCCCAGCAGACGTAGCACTTTAAGGAATTTCTCTTTTTTAATTTAAAAAAGGAACTAGCCAGGGCAACTAATGCAATATTTTAATCTTTTTACATTTAAGGAAGTGTCCTCTGTTTATTTTTGTGGTGTAAACTATACATTTTTTTTTGTGTGCCCCAGCAGACGTAGCACTTTAAGGAATTTCTCTTTTTTAATTTAAAAAAGGAACTAGCCAGGGCAACTAATGCAATATTTTAATCTTTTTACATTTAAGGAAGTGTCCTCTGTTTATTTTTGTGGTGTAAACTATACATTTTTTTTTGTGTGCCCCAGCAGACGTAGCACTTTAAGGAATTTCTCTTTTTTAATTTAAAAAAGGAACTAGCCAGGGCAACTAATGCAATATTTTAATCTTTTTACATTTAAGGAAGTGTTCTCTGTTTATTTTTGTGGTGTAAACTATACATTTTTTTTGTGTGCCCCAGCAGACGTAGCACTTTAAGGAATTTCTCTTTTTTAATTTAAAAAAGGAACTAGCCAGGGCAACTAATGCAATATTTTAATCTTTTTACATTTAAGGAAGTGTCCTCTGTTTATTTTTGTGGTGTAAACTATACATTTTTTTTTGTGTGCCCCAGCAGACGTAGCACTTTAAGGAATTTCTCTTTTTTAATTTAAAAAAGGAACTAGCCAGGGCAACTAATGCAATATTTTAATCTTTTTACATTTAAGGAAGTGTTCTCTGTTTATTTTTGTGGTGTAAACTATACATTTTTTTTTGTGTGCCCCAGCAGACGTAGCACTTTAAGGAATTTCTCTTTTTTAATTTAAAAAAGGAACTAGCCAGGGCAACTAATGCAATATTTTAATCTTTTTACATTTAAGGAAGTGTCCTCTGTTTATTTTTGTGGTGTAAACTATACATTTTTTTTTGTGTGCCCCAGCAGACGTAGCACTTTAAGGAATTTCTCTTTTTTAATTTAAAAAAGGAACTAGCCAGGGCAACTAATGCAATATTTTAATCTTTTTACATTTAAGGAAGTGTCCTCTGTTTATTTTTGTGGTGTAAACTATACATTTTTTTTTGTGTGCCCCAGCAGACGTAGCACTTTAAGGAATTTCTCTTTTTTAATTTAAAAAAGGAACTAGCCAGGGCAACTAATGCAATATTTTAATCTTTTTACATTTTAAGGAAGTGTCCTCTGTTTATTTTTGTGGTGTAAACTATACATTTTTTTTTGTGTGCCCCAGCAGACGTAGCACTTTAAGGAATTTCTCTTTTTTAATTTAAAAAAGGAACTAGCCAGGGCAACTAATGCAATATTTTAATCTTTTTACATTTAAGGAAGTGTCCTCTGTTTATTTTTGTGGTGTAAACTATACATTTTTTTTTGTGTGCCCCAGCAGACGTAGCACTTTAAGGAATTTCTCTTTTTTAATTTAAAAAAGGAACTAGCCAGGGCAACTAATGCAATATTTTAATCTTTTTACATTTAAGGAAGTGTTCTCTGTTTATTTTTGTGGTGTAAACTATACATTTTTTTTTGTGTGCCCCAGCAGACGTAGCACTTTAAGGAATTTCTCTTTTTTAATTTAAAAAAGGAACTAGCCAGGGCAACTAATGCAATATTTTAATCTTTTTACATTTAAGGAAGTGTCCTCTGTTTATTTTTGTGGTGTAAACTATACATTTTTTTTTGTGTGCCCCAGCAGACGTAGCACTTTAAGGAATTTCTCTTTTTTAATTTAAAAAAGGAACTAGCCAGGGCAACTAATGCAATATTTTAATCTTTTTACATTTAAGGAAGTGTTCTCTGTTTATTTTTGTGGTGTAAACTATACATTTTTTTTTGTGTGCCCCAGCAGACGTAGCACTTTAAGGAATTTCTCTTTTTTAATTTAAAAAAGGAACTAGCCAGGGCAACTAATGCAATATTTTAATCTTTTTACATTTAAGGAAGTGTCCTCTGTTTATTTTTGTGGTGTAAACTATACATTTTTTTTTGTGTGCCCCAGCAGACGTAGCACTTTAAGGAATTTCTCTTTTTTAATTTAAAAAAGGAACTAGCCAGGGCAACTAATGCAATATTTTAATCTTTTTACATTTAAGGAAGTGTTCTCTGTTTATTTTTGTGGTGTAAACTATACATTTTTTTTTTGTGTGCCCCAGCAGACGTAGCACTTTAAGGAATTTCTCTTTTTTAATTTAAAAAAGGAACTAGCCAGGGCAACTAATGCAATATTTTAATCTTTTTACATTTAAGGAAGTGTCCTCTGTTTATTTTTGTGGTGTAAACTATACATTTTTTTTTGTGTGCCCCAGCAGACGTAGCACTTTAAGGAATTTCTCTTTTTTAATTTAAAAAAGGAACTAGC